GGAATAAAATATCTTCTTCTGACTTCACCAGGAGCAGGTTTTCTTGTACAGTACTCACTCAGACCCATTTCTGAAACCACACATACATATTTATCTATATTTTACTTTAGTGGAGGCGTGAGATCGGATTGCTTTACGTTTAGCTTTCCTGTGCCCTAGAATTAACAATAAATAACGAAAAAAAAGGGAAAGGAGATTCCAATGCCCAAAAGAGAGAGAGAGAGTAAAGAGGCAGAAAGAATTCACCACAAGCAATACAGGTTTTGGGACCAGGAGTTGGAAGGGAAGCAACTACAAAGAAAAGAGGAGTCGCGCCACCCAATCCAAGGCAGGCACCAAAGGAATTCTTGAAGTAGATGAATTGAGTCAAGATGAAGTTCCTCTCAAAGACACATACAACCACCGGATCAGAAAAATCATTATCTTGCACATTAACCCAGTATATGTGTTTGGCATAAACCTGTCTCGACTGCCACAAATATGTCCTAACCCACAAGATCATAACATCGACGGTAACTGGAAAGAGTAGTTATTGCAGTAATAGTTTGCAGTAGCGACGGCAGTAACAATGGATGGGGCGTGTGCTCATCATTTTATAATGGAGAAGTTTCTACTTCCAGGAACCTTTTCTTGGCTGTCCCCTAAATATTCGGAATGTTCGAGGTCCAAGCCCGAACCAGCGGCCGATTTGGTGGGGGAGGAAAGCTGCTACCTGAAGAAAGGATGCTCTGTGGAAAAGCTGTCAGAAATGCACATCACAGAGTCCGGACTTGGTCAGGGGGGGAATTTTCAGGAGCGCGAGGTGGCTGTTGGGTGCAAAGGTTTTCAGACCGGGAGGGCGATTGGGATAATACGCCTTGGTGATCGAATACCTGCAGCGGCCCTCAAGGAGCAGGAAAAGGAAAGAGTAGGGTAGGGTAGAGTGTAGACTAGAGTAGGCTAGAGTAGAGTAGAATAATCGTAATTTGAAAATCATAGCTCCCTCCTTTATAGGGAGCGCATGGTTGGAGAAGCGGAACGTCGAACAGCCGCTTGAAAGAAGGCAATGTCCCTGCCATTACCGCTATGACTAAGCTTGTTATCGCCCCGCAACCGCAATGCTATATATCACTAGTGAGGAAATGCCTTTGTCAAAGCGGCCCGTCTTTCGGAAGAACCGCGACGGAGAAGCGCTTCTTTGGATATTCTCCCGCCCAGTCCGCTCCGCCCCTCCAGCCCCCAGAAATTAACGTGGCCTTTAGTCCGGGAGCGGAGCGGGGCGGGGCGGGGGGAAGCGAATTTGATCGCGATCTAGGGAAATGGGCGAACTCATCATAGACGCATCCCGGGGAACCCAGCGGAATTTACTTCGGAGTTTGCACGCTCCGAATCAAAGAGAGCCCACCCCTCCGGGGGTTGCGGGTGGGAGAGAAAGAGAGCCAATCACGTTGTGCGAGATCAACCTGGCTTTTTCTAATAAGCCCGGACTGAACCGACGTCTAGATTTAACGGAGCCTCAGCCCAATCTGGGGACGGGAGGCAGGAGGGGAGGACCTGATCGTGATTAGAGGGGACGGGGCCCCCGCAGCGCCACCCGGTTGAGGGTGGATCGCGCCGGAGGCCCTTGAAGTTCTGCTCCGAGGAAATTTCCATGGAAATTTGGGTGGTTGTGGGGTTACTTTCCTCTCTGGCCCCTCTTCCCCCAAGATTTGAACCAGGTTTCACGTCGTGGATGCTCCCTCCCCGTTTCTCTTTTTAAAACCCCAAATGTTACCCCAGTTAACGGTCTGCTTTATATATCGGATTATTGTCCTTATAATACCAGTAAGATCTGGTTTCTCTGTGGTCCCCATCAGAGAACTACTGTCGACAGCAATTCGGAGGGCCCGATTCAGGAAAACCCTATATGCAGTTTGCGCAGCTTCTTACGAAAAGGCCGGAGAGGGAAACGAGGGAGGGGTGAGGAAGGCGCACATCTCTCCTCCACCCTGACTCTCGGGAGCTGCGGCAACCATCTGCTTGTCTCCGGGACAGCTAGCTCCCTTTGGAGCCGCGTCAGAATCTGCCCATAAAGGGCAAGGCGCGATTCGCCCGGCTTGGCTCGCAGCAGTCACAGAAGCGCTGGGGTGAAATTAGAGGAGGGTCGGGAGAGGCAGAGCAGCTGGGGAGCGGTCTTGCCCTTCTACTCCCTCCCTGCCCCCCCCCCCCTTAGCCCTCCGAGACTTTCCAGCGCAGAGATTTCCCGGGAATCCCCTCCCGACCCCTTTGGCTGGCTTCGGGGGTCTCTCCCTCCCTTGGCGCTACCCTTTCTCGAGAAAGCCAGGCTGTGTGGAGCCTCCTTACTTTGCCCCGTCATTAATGACTTTAATTAATTGAATCGATTCGATTCTCAGGGAATGTCCAGTCCAAGCTCCAAGCTTCTTACTGCGAATGTTTCCAGCGGAGTGCTTGGTTCTGCGCCCTTCATTAGCGCAAACCAGGAGAATCTGGTTGATTCTGGCAAAGTGTGGATTTGATGACTGTAGATACTCTTTTCTTTATAGAAAAGAAAACCATCCACTTTGGCAAATTCCTATTGACATTATTTGTTGCTGTATGTTTCAGGAGTATTTTTTTAAGAATGCATATTAGAGGAGTCATTGGAACAGACTGTGGAGAGCATGGGGAGGGGGCAGAATAGAGATTTAAGAGTTGAGGATAGCTCAGGAGGAGAGGGTTTTTTTTCTTCCCGGCTTTTGTTTAGACACCTCAGAGCAGTCTCTGCAATGGAGGAATCTCTGCAGACTTTATATATATGCTTTGGCCAGTGTAGACACCTGGCTGTTCTGTACAAACAGCTCCTTCTCCTGTTCCTATCATTTTGACAAAGTCTGAATGCAGTGACACACACACACACAAATCAAGGATCATCTCTCTTTGCTACAAACTCAAGCAACTGTTGCAGTGTAAGGATGGCTATTCAAAGTTACCTTGTGGCACAGAAGGGCTTGTTGCTAAGGAAATGGGTACAGAGTTTCAATCAGTGGCCGAATGTAAGCCAGGACTATCTGTAAAATGGGCACGCCAAGACACTGATCCAACAGGTTCAGCTGCAGATGTCATAAACAGTGCAATTCTATGCAAGTTTTCTTCTTCTTCTTGGAAGTAGGCCCTGTTGAATTAGTGGGAGTTTTTCTTGAATAAAATCTAAGACTCTTGTGGGTGTGAAACTCTTTTGAGCATTTCTTATGCATTTAAGAAATCCACTGATCCATTAAACTCAACAGGGCTTCTTCCTCTGCAAGACATCTTCCTCTGGAAGATTAGGAAGTGGGTTACAGGATTACTGTCGAACATCACATTCCCCCCTCAGCAATGAATTGGTAATGCTGACCTGGTCTCTGTTTTTTAGAAATTTCATTTTTCAAAATAATGTCAGATGTTCTCCTCAAATTATGGTTTTCAAAACTCAAGATTGTGTAGTTCTGTGTCTCTAAAGTATGATTATTATTATTATTTTTTTAAAAAAGACAACACCGCTTCTGGAGCAAGAGGGAACTACTCAATGTATCCCGACAGCTGAGGATGGCGGGGGGGAGGAAAAGTCATAATTTGGTTGAAGGCCAGTTTGGTGTAGTGGTTGAGGCACCAGACTAGAAACCTGGAGACCCATAAGGCAGTTCTAGTCCCACCTATGGGTGACTTTGGGCCAGTTGAGCTCTCTCTCTCTCAGCTCTAGGAAGGAGGCAATGACAAACCATTTCTGAAATCTTGCAGGAATTTCTCTAGGCAAGCACCAGGAGTCAGGACTGACACAAAGGCATCATTGTTGTTGTTTTGTTGTTGCCATTACACTTCGTCCCTTCATGATTTTTTTTTTTTAAATAATCCTCACAAGATTCCTCAGCTGAACTAACAGGGCAAAAAGCACTTCCTGATCAAAGACAAGGACAATAAAGCCATTGTCTTAGGCCCCAAATAGTATAATTACACATACACATAAACACACACACACAAACACACACACAAGTTTTAGAGAATGTGGGCCACTGAATTCAATAGAAATGAAGTTTACTCTTTGTTAAAGGTGCGCAGATTTGCAGCCTGGCTTTCTGGATTGGAAGTATGAAGGTAATATTCTCTCATCTCCATGAATTTTTATCTAGCATTTTCCAGTGGTAAAGGATATTTATCTCTGGACTGTATTTATGAGTTTTCTTTAATCCTTTAAGAGGAAACAATTGTGTGCATGGTTCCCACACTCACCAGGGTTGTCTGATATCCCTTAAACTGGGTTTTTCGTCTGAACGTTACAGCCTTAACACTTTGGGGACTTTCCCCTCACTATTTTTCTCCTAACCTGATCCTGCAAATAGATTTGAGCAGGATGTGAAACCTGTTAAGTACTTATTAGGGAGCACGTCCGAATGATTTGGATACCCAGAAAGCAACAATCCCAAAGGTGCTTTTTCAAGAGGCAACTGGACTTTCTATTTTTTCTTTGAAGACCTTTCACTTGTCATCTGAGAAGCTTCCTCTGAAGAGCTGACAAAGCTTCTCGGGTGAGAAGTGAAAAGTCTTCAAAGAAAAACCAGAAAGTCCAGCTGCCTTTTGAAACAAAGCACTTTTGGAACAACCATAACCTGGATGACTGAAAATCTCCATAGGCAGAAAGCAACAAGTTCAGAGCTAAGACACCAGTTTGAATAGAACCAGTTAATTCTATTCACCTCCTTCCCTCCTGAACAGCTTGTTAAAGTCATCCTACCAAACTGTAGTAATGAAGACGCTAATATCAATGTCTATAGTAAAGGTGCTAAAGGGGGAAAATATTTAGAAGCATTTCATTATATGACTTGCAATGTCTGTATGTGAATTTTCTTAAAATTATCTTTTTCCGACCTAGCCAAAAATCTTTGATTTTGACCCAGAAAAGAGAAGACAAAATTCATCTTTTTAAAAAGAAATTAACTCCACACATTGACAAATCAACACACCATTAAACAAGATGTTTTTAATTTAATTCTAAATAAAGAGATAAGAAATAATAAATCTTCAATAAAATATATAAAATTGTACAAGGCATCCCTTTCAAAGGGATTTTCGTAGGCTAAGGATGGGTGGGTAAAAGGCCAGCACTGAACTAATAGACAAAAGATTCACAACTGTAGCAGGGCAGATTCCTTCTCACTCTTTGAGGACATGCAGAAAAACACACTTTGGAAACATCTGGTCTTCAGCAACCTGCCTCCTCTGTCGACACTTTACCACAAGGTTTAGCCATAGTATTAATAAAAACAATTAAAACAATTGGGTTATATAGTACCATATATGCCAAGCAGAACTCTTTCCTCCCTGCCCTCCTCTGAAATAAATCAAAGAGTGGAGACCTGTCCTGTCTTTAGAGTGGGCGGCACTACTTTGTTCTCATCGCTTTGTTTCATCCTCTGGGTTTGTGGGTGGGTGTCAAGACTCGTTTAAGCATAATTCATTTTTACAAGCTAATAATGGTTAAATCACAAGATTATTGCAATAAACACAAAACAACTCTGCAACACAAAACAATTCTGGTTTCATCATCCCTCCGCAGATCTGCACAACTGTATATCCTCTTTTCGTATCTCTAACCTGTTTGTTCCCAATATCAAAATGTCGGCTAAATGCCGACTTGATTTAAATGATAATTAAATGGACATGGGCAACCGGGATCAAGACAAATCTAAAAAAGGCTTCTAGGATTTTCCTCTGCTTGTGGCATCATACCCTTGTACCCATCTGAACGCTGCCTTACAAACAAGACTAAACTGCAAAGGAAAACTTGGCAAAACTTGCATCTGTAGAAATCCTTTACAAGATTGAAATGGGGAATCCCACTTCATGGGTGCCATTCTACAGGAAATATTCCAGGAGGGAATTTTATAAAGGAATGGAAAACCTACTTTGCCAGATCAGATCAACAATCCACCCAATCCATCATTTTGCATCGGAAGTATTCCAGTTCCTTGCATTTCAGTTTCCAGGACTGTCTGGAGTACAGTGAAGGAGTCCCAAGAGAAATGCAGAAACCAACCCAGTCTCAAATCAGCTTTTATTTCTGGTTTCATAAGTAAAGCTTCTCTATATGTTTAAGCTTCCTCAGTCAGTCAAAGAGTACATGTGCATTTTTACCTCCATGCCTGCATTCACACCCCACTATGGGAAATAAGTACTACTGAACAAAGTGAGATAAATTCCTTCTGAATAAGCAGGCATAAGAAAGGACTGAAAGCTACTCACTTTCGAGGTGTGTGGGTGTGTGAATGATATTTCACAGGTTTACTGGGAACTTTGAGGAGGTTGATAATTAAATCATACATTTTCCTGGGAATAGTTATCAAAGTAATCCCCCTTCCCTGTGCAGTATATAAATAAACTATATTCCTTAAAGTCTGTATATTAAAAAACAACAACCTTGCATTCAGGATCAGATTCTAGCTGGTGAGCTCACATTTGGTTGGTTCCCAAGTTGCAGAATACAGGTTCTGGGTTCAAAGTCCTATATATTTGATAAGGCACATTACAAGTAGGTGAAAAATGACCAGTCAATAGTTCTGTACAGCACTTTTTAACTGAGTACACTCCATCATCCCTTTCCGGTCTTCTTACGATAAGTGATACATGCTGTAGCCCACAGGAGTAGCATAGAGTCCTACAGGTGGGATGGGAAGCACAGGTCTGTGAAAGGGATATGATGTTCCATAGAGAGAGGCGGCCTGGAGCGGCGAGTTGATAGGGAAAGGGAGGCTAAAACCAGATGGCAACATGGGCTTTGCTGCCATTTTTAACTTCTCCAGCTCTGCTTCCTGCAGTCTTTTTGCCTTGGCCCTCCGGTTCTGGAACCATATTTTGACCTGGGTCTCTGTAAGATTGAGGGAACTTGAGAATTCAGCCCGTTCAGCAATGGATAGATACTGCTTCTGACGGAATTTGCGCTCTAAAGCTAGCAGCTGGGAAGTTGTGAAAGGTGTTCGAGGCTTCCGATTGGTCTTGTGTTTTCTCAGCGTACAGGCTGTGGGGCTCAGGTGTCCTGGAAAAAAAGCAAAAGAAAGATTGATTACTTAAGGAGATGAGAATTAGATGGCCAAATGCTAGGAATAGCAACTTTTTATTTATTTATTTTTTCTTATGTCCCATTGAGCTTGTAAAGAGTATAAATTATTGGCAAAAATATAATGTTCATTGCCTAACGAAGTAGGAAGATAAAAGCTTTTGTATAGGGGTGGCAAATAATCTTATTTCACAAAAAGGTACAACCTGCACACACTAATGTCAATAAGACAAAACATTCCATTTTGGAAAAGTACCTGGAGGAGAGCAGGTGAAATAAAACAAAACAAGAACATTTGGAAGTTACAGAAGTTTTTGAAATGGAGAAGGAATTATTTGTGAAATTCTGGTTCATTGTGTCCTTTTATTTCATCAGGTGAATGTCTTCAGCTTATTCTCAGCAAAATTAATCAGATAAAACCTGCCCTGCCCACACATTAAATTATTACACTAAATCAAAGCAATCACCCATCCAATCCACTGTGTTTATTAATTTAGCCAATATAATCCACTTAAGTCAGAGTTTTTATCTGCAGTGCTTAAAGTCTTCTGCCAGTTAAAGGAAATGAAGCACACAAGAGTTGCTTTGTCCTTAAGCAGTCTATTTAGAAACTCTCCTGGTGTGAGAGCTATTTCACACACATTATTTAGCAGCCAAATGTGAGGTTTTATCACTAAGCACACACTTGACAGAGGTATATAGCCAATTGTTGCTTTCAATTTACTTTATCTATGCAAAACATGTGTTTGACACAACATCACTACCCAGTTTGAAGTGTACACTTTGCACATTCTGGCAATACCAGTAGAAAATCAATGCGAGGGGAATAATAAACAGCACTCTATATGTTTATACCAATACTTTAAATTCCTTCACTGGGAATATTAGAATTTACCAAGAAAGTTTAACATTTGTCATAAATGTCCTATTCCACTACAGGAATCCAAGGAGCATATGTATTTCAGCAAGAAAGTGAGCAAAAGGACAAAGGTTGTGATATATACTGAGAAATATCCTACAGGTAGGCCTCGACTTCCAACAGTTTATTTAGTGGCCCTTCAAAGTTACAATGGCACTGTAAAAAAGGGACTTATGACCATTTTTCACACTTATGACCTTTGCAGCATCTCTATGGGGATTTGATGCGTTTTGCAGCATCCCCATTTTGACTTCATCAAAATTCAGACTCTTGGCAACTGGTTCATATTTATGAGGTTGCAGTGTCCCGGGGACTTTTCCAACCTTATGACAAGCAAAGTCAACAGGGAATCTGGATTCATTTAACAACTGTGTGGCTAACTTAACAACTGCTGTGATTCACTTAACAACTGCGGCAAGAAAGGTTGTAAAATGATACAAAATTCACTGAATAGATGTTTCAGCCACAGAAACGGTTGTAAATCGAGAAAGATCTGTATTTAGAAACAGGATGACTGTTACCGTACCCAATGCTCAATGTGACAGAACAGCCCACAATTAGCAGTATGGCAAAGCCTTGCCCGAGTTTGTCCTTCTCATATTCTGTATCTCCAATATCACATCAAGAAGGAAGGAAATCAGCTTATTACATAGTCAATCACTGGCTCATTTTCCCTTCTGCAATAATTTATTCCATGCCAGATTGATTTTTTTTTAATTTTTTGATTTATTAATGAAATTGATATGTCTCACAGAAAGCGACCCTGGGCTGCATACAAACAGTCCAATAAAACAGTAAATAAACATATGGAAGGTGAGGACATTGAAAGGTCTCCATTTGGAAGAGGAAGCACATTATGGGCTGCCCTTATGTTCGTTTTAGCAAGTCTTGGAAAAACAAGGATTTTTAATAGGTAAAAACTGAAGCAAAAGGGAAACATAATCCTAAAAGAAATTCAGCTAAGTGAGCTTGTTTTTTAAGTCTTGTAAGTGGTAGAAAACTAGATATCGCATCAGCCACTACAAGCTATGATTTATCTAGCCGAAATATTTTTGAAGTTTTGCCTACAGGCAACTAGTATCAAAGCTGATAAGTTTTTAATTTGTTTGTTCAAGTCTATGTTCACTTATATGACTTCCACTGAAATTAAGGGTTGATTGATATATACGTGATGTTTGAACAGAGTAGATTATCGCCTCTCTGCTGGAATTAATTTAGTTTCTTGTATCTTTAGGCAGCAGTAGCAGGTGAAGGGGGAGAGAGAGGTAGAGATCAAAAGGCCAATATATTGATTTAACATATAGTTTTTATGACATGTGCTAATCCTGAAAATATATATTCTGAACAAATATGGGATTTAATCATATTTTATTACAACTCAGGGGCTTTCATGGAGAAGTTTGCAATTCTTTTCAGCATGCTCTGCATGTATCCAGAAGTTCAATAATATGAACTATTATTTTTTAATTCCTTGGAAAAAGAACAACTGCCAGCATCAAAACCCACACATTTCTCAGCCTTACTGCACCACATCAATCATAGTGGCTTACTTCCAACACACTTTGTGACAATCAGTCTTAAGGAAGCCCCGTGTAAACTTAAGAGTGAAAACTTCTGCTCACCTTACTCAAAAGTGAGTCCCTTGTGTTCAAGTTAGGCTTGCTCCTTTATAAACATATTTCGGCTTGTAGGTTCAAGGGAAACAGTGGTGGAAGAGGCAAATTTTGGCTACCTTTATATGCCAGATTTACTTAGGTATATACTGGTTTCCTGGACGGACTCAATTTCCTAGCTTCATACTCCGTCCTCAGCCACAAACAAATGACACAGGCTATATTTGCAGAACCCATTAGGTGTTTAGCCAGTTTGTGGCTGAGGGGTTAGTATAAATCCAGTGACTCTTTAGAATAGTGTGGAATTTAAGAACAAAGTAAGTGTTGCAATACAGAACCAATGCTAGAAATGACATGCCATTAGTCTATAAGGGCTCTTTCTTTTTCTCTTGCCAATCTTTTTTTGGTTCTTTAGAAAGAATGTTCAGAAATACAAAATACAGTAAGATTGCCCTCCTATAAGGCACACTTATAGAGAAGCCACTCCCAATTAAATCTTTCACAGGAAAAGAAACGAAGTTATTTTCATATTTCATTTAGGATTATGTTGTAAATGTCAGCAAGATTGTTTTTACTTTGAACATTTTAAAAGAATTGTTCAATTTTTGACAGTTCTCCCTAACTAAAGCAAAGCCCAAGTGGTCTGTAAGCAATGATTCTCCATGTTGATGAATAGAGTTACTAAATGGAAGAACAGCTTCTTTTGTGATTTAAGATAGTGTTAACTAATCATACATTGTTTGTAAATGAAGAAATCTTTCCAAGTCAAAGATGTTATCGGAAGGCAATATTAATATGTTCTCTTTTACATGAGTTTAGGTAAGCTACGAAGAATGTGTTTTACCACTAGAGTTATTCAAATGCATAGATGACTTCAATTTAACTGGGTTTATGTTAGGAAAATGTAGATTCAATTAGAGTGTTATGCCCTTATTGATAATAGAGGGGAGAAGAAGGCAAGGTATATAACTTCTGGTTGAAGCAATAAGGCACAAAGCAGCAGTTTTACTTAATGGAAGTTAATAGCTAAGGTTCCAAATGGCATTACATTTGTTTTCAAAATATGATATGCGTTATAAAAATTATAATCTCTGTAATTTTTAAATTATCTTCTAAAGTAGCTTGCCATCTGTCAGATGATCTCATTCCATTTATTGCCACAGTTCATCACCATAGTACAACTATTAAAAAAAGAGTTTTATTACTATTTACAAAATATATATTGAGCAGCAGCTGGAAGCTATCCCTTGCAATTTTATTAGATACATTTCCTTCCAAGCATCCTAATTTTTTAATATTTTTTTCTCCTTATGCCACAGGTGACTTTTAGTTTATTTTGCTATTTAATGAGAATGGATCTTCTACAGATAGGGTTTTTTTCCCTCTTCAGGAGCAACATGAATAAATCTGCAAATTAATGGGCCCGAATACTGCATGAAGACTTTAAGATACAATCCATTTTACTGAAGTTAATAAAAGTTACTTTTTAATTATACAGAGGTAAAATTACTTGCCAAAATAATTCAGTAAAGGGGGACAGAATTTCAACAATGAGTACTCCTCCTTTTGGTAAGTAATATTGCCTTATGATTTTTTCCTGTTCTACTTTCTTCCAGTTGAAAACACATATAAGTCATACTGGTATCTGATGCAATTTTAATTTCCAGGTTTTAAAAAATGATTTAAGATGAGTTTGGGACTATTGTAAAAGTTTTCTTAAGTCATCAGATCTAAGATCCCAAGGCCCCACAAATCTGAATTCACTCCATAGAAAAAGAAACAAGCAGAAATGCCAGTGTATGCTTTTCAGAAATTATTTTACTTTGCTTTATGTTTTTCCCCAAGACTTTTCATATTTGCTTAGGCAGACCTTTTAAATTGTGCTGCAAGTTAGATTTAGACTGTTTTGGAGTTGTTTTATCATGTGAAGTGAATGATCAGTGTGCAATCCTATCCAGATTTATTCAGGAGTTAAGTCTGAGTGAATATGATCAGGCAATAGAACCAAATAGGAAGAAGAGGCACAATCTTTGATTGCTTTCGGGATGATTTTACACAAAGGTGTATGGAAAACAAAGAGATGACAATAGATTACCTTAGTTTCTGTGTTTTCCCCTCCAAACAAGGTTTCCTTTTATACTCTATAGTGATGCTTTTTTAAAAAAAGTGTACTTTGATCCTAAGCCTACCTAACTAGAAAGTATGTTCCATTAAAATGAACTCAGATGTGGCACAAGTTTTCATGGGCCAGACTGCGTCCTTTGTCATATGTAAGCCCAAAACAGCACTAAGGGCCATACAAATATATAATAATGGAACACAAAGAGGACACTGCAGTTAATTTGTTTGCACTGACTAATTTCCTTTAACCAAGACAACTGCAAATAAAATAAGCTCTTTTTCCATCTTCTCCAATGAATCAGAAGAGGTTGGTATAAGGGGGAAATAAGTATCTTTTGGGGAACTGTTTTTTTTTTTAAAAAAAAACTTGGGTTCAAAAATAAAGAAGATGAGAGGTCCTTCCTTCCTTCCTTCCGCCCAATAGCAAGCTGATTTTTGGAGAGGGGGGAACTCGGTTTAGAGAGAGTGCTTAAAAATATATACATTTCAAAACCTGTCTGCGATGAGTAAGATATGTGTCCCAGGATGGCAACAACGCTCCTGGAGACCAAAAAAAAAGAGAGAGAGAGAGAGAGAGAGAGAGAGAGATTATTGCTGAACCGCCTAGCAGGGCCAATTTCGAGATTCCCTTTCCGACCCGGCGGAACTGGAGTGAATCATTCGCGTCGGTCCAGGCTAAGCGGAGCGGGAAGTTCCCGACGGATTATAAAAGAGCAAGATGATCCCTTCGTCCTCACCCCGAGTTCTTTGGTTGCCGGGCCTTTACTCTTGCCGTTGGGACGACGGAGTAGCAGGCATTTAGCGAAAGCCTGGAAGGCCGGCTCTTGTTGCTACAGGTGCACCGAAGAAGGCACCGGAGGGCGCTGAGCGCAAGGATCGTCCTGCGCCCCGCTAGAAATAAAGCCGCGATTTTGGCGGCGGCGAAGGAAGGAGCAGTTAAGAAACGGGAAGGGAGGGGGGAGCCACGGAACTAAGCGAATTAAGCAGAGAAACAGACTTTTCGCGGGGGGGGGGGAGGGGGGAAGGGGCGGAAGGAGGTAGGGCGGCAGGGCTTATCGAGGTCTAAGTAAGACAGCGAAAGCAACTCCCTTGTGGTCCCGAAAGGCAGAAGCTAAAAAAAATATCCGGTTAAGGTTGGATCCGGATGGTCGTGAAGACTCAGAGATAGAGGGAGAGAGAAAGAGAGAAAGAAAGAGAGAGAGAGAAAGAAAGAGAGAGAAGAGAGAGAAAAGAGGGTGAGAGAGGGAGGGAGGGAGAGAGAAAGAGAGGGAGAAAAGAGAGAGAAAAGAGAGGGCGAGAAAAGAGAGGGAGAGGGGGGGAGAAAAGAGAGGGAGAGAGAAAGAGAGAAAAGAGAGGGAGAGAGAAAGAGGGAGAGAGAGAGGGAGAAAAGAGGGAGGGAGAGAGAAAGAGAGGGAGAGAAAGGAGAGGGGGGAGAGAAAGAGAGAGAGAAAAGGGAGGGAGGGAGGGAGGGAGGGAGAGAGAGGGAGAAGAGAGAGAGAGAGAGATGGTCGGACTTGGGGCGGGGGGAAGGGGATCTAACTTGAGAGCCTTGAACTGCAAAGGCGTCAGTGGCGCCAGGCCCGCGGCGTCTCTTTGGACAGTTCCGGACACTCAGCAGCTTAAGGGGCGGCTAAAGCTTAAAAGATCGCGTCGCTAGCGAGTCCAAACATTAACTCGCGGCACGCAAACAAAAGAAGCCGCTTTATTAAACTTTAAGGCCGAGAGACCTCGCCGAAATTATTCATCGGACGTTGCTCCACGGTTGCTTGCAAATTGGAGCCGTGTTGTTGTGTTGCCTGCTGAAGCTTTCTATGGGATTCAGCCTGACAAATGCTTTCTCGCAGTTAAAAACAAAAATAGAACAAAAACCCCGCAGGCTGCCTCTCCCTCCCGCTCTTCTAAAGTCCGGACCACGGCGAGATCGCAGGGTTTGGGGGTTTTATTTTTTATTTTTTAATTTTTTTGAGTGGGGGGGACGGCTGGAGGGATGAAGCCACACCAAACACACACACACACACAGAGCTGCCTTGGTCGCCCAACTTCATTCTCCCAGCGCCTTTCCACCCTCCCTAAGTTAAAGCACTCACTTGGGGGAGGGGAGTATCTGCCGGCCTCCGGAATCCAGGACGAGCCATCCTCGGAGTTTTCGGACTTCACCGACGAAGTCTCGAAGGTTTTTGTAAGCCCGCCGGGGCTGGGAGCTTCCCTGGAGACGTGAGTGGGCAAGAGCAGGTTCCTCGAAGTACCCAAGCCAGTCCCTTCCAGGCTTCCGCTCGGCTCTCGGGCCGGCTTTTTGTCGGACATAAGCGCTTCCACGCTGAACGGCAAACTGGAGACCTTGACTTTGTGCTGATCCTCGGCCCCAGCCGCGGGGCCCTCTTCGTCCGAGGAGGAGAAAACCTCCTTAGCTTTGGAAGGAGAAGACATCTCGGCGCAGCTTAGCAAAGATCCCCGCGGAGAGAAGCAGCCGCCCTGTGCCTCGCCGCCGCCGCCGCCGCCGCCGCAGCAGCAGCCGCCTCCGCCGCCGCCGCCGCCGCCTTTCTTCTTTGGCTTCTCCTCCTCCTCCTCTTGTTCCCGAGTCCAGACCTCTCAATCAATCTCTCGCTTCAGAGGCTCTCCTGGACGCACCACCTCCGCTCACTTCAGCCCCCGACAACAGACCCGACTTTTTTTTTTCCCTCCCCTTTTTTGGGAAACTTCTGGCTGTTTCCTCCTTTGGGAAGTTGAGTAAGCGCGGCTCAGCAAATGAGAGGCGTTCGGGATGGCGACGTAAGGCGGTGACTCCTGTGATTGGCTCTGAGCGGCCCTGAGCATAAATGGCTTTTTTTTCTTTTTTCTTTTTTTTTTTGGCCTTTTAAATAAATTAGAAGTTAATGACAAGGGCAGCAAACGGAGCTGTGTTATTAGGGAGCTTTCCAGCTCTGTAACCCTGCCAAACAACAGGAAAGTCGGTGGAGTAATTAGGGCTGATGATACCAAAAGGAAACTCAGAGAGAGCAGATTTCAACCCACCCACCCCTTTTATATTTAGACTCTCTCACCCTAGGGGAAAAAAAAAAGGGGGGGGGGCAGAGAGAAAGAGACGGTTGTTTTCAACCAGAATCGCTTCAAAACGAACTACTACTAGACAGCCGTTCCCCCCACCCCCCCAGTCAAGTCTGCATGATATAATAGCGCCGCCTCCATACTGTAAATGCAACGAGAACTAGGTGGAAAATGGTTGTTCTTTTTTTTACTTTGAGAGAGACACCACTGTTGGGGGGGTGGGGACGGGGGGGAGAGGAAGAGAAGGGAGGAAGGATGGCACAAGGCAGTGGCATGAATCACTTCCAGGTTAGGAAGGTGAAGTGGACGTCCTCGGTCTGGGCAGAGCTTCTCTTAGTGGAAGCCAAACCCACGCAGTCTGAAAAAGCGCGGCTCGGGATACTGAGGCCCCCTTGGGAAAAGAGGAGAAAGAAAGAAAAAAAAAACACGAGAGAGCTGCGCAAAGTCTGCCGAAGCGAGTCGGTTGGTGCTCCGAGACAAGGCCCTTTCCAATGCCTCCGCGCTAGGGCTTCTCTCCCCCTCTCCGAGCGGTGAAGGAGACCCTCGCGGGGCAAGGACGAGAAACTGCCCCGAGGAAGGAGCGAGTGGGAGGTGGGATGAGTCGCAGAGGGGAGAAGGGGGGGGGCGGATTTCATCAGAAGCAGCCACCACTCTTTCCACCACCTCGCGAAGATACTTGGGACTTGAAGTTGGCCTTCTCACTTTGTCCAGGAATCGTTTCCCTCCCCTCTAAGAAACACATTAAGCGTATTTGGGGCGGGGTGCGCGGGAGAGAACCTGACTTCTTTTTTTAATGTATGTTTTTAAAAATAATTATGTCGGTAATGCTAAGTTGCAACAGCCGCCTAAGCCCTGATGACAAACAGATGCATTTTTTTTTAATAAGCCTGAGTCGGCACCCTTTCACTTGCGAGCGCATCAAACGAGCCTCAAGGAGGGCAGTTGTCACCCTGGGTTGTTTTTCTCTCTCTCCTTCTTCTATCACGACATGCCATTAAAAGACCAAAGAGGTGGATTTAATTTAAATGATATTGCAATTAGCAGCTGGAGAAAAGTAGATCATTTTTTGGGGCTTGGCAAGTAATTTTAATCTGTTGGTGATAGCTATCTCGGTGATAGCTCGCTATCACCTACCTATTGTACCTACCTACCTACCTAATACCTACCTATTGTAGGTATTAAAAGAAGCAGCAGGCTGAGGAAGCTGCGGCGATGGGGGGGGGGGGCGGAGAGGCAGAACCACAACAGGAGGAGTATTCTTTCCCTGAACGATTTTCTCTGGTCTCGAGCCCCTTGCTTCTTAAAAAGAGAGTGGGGCGCCCTCTTATTTGATCTTATAAGCACTTAATTTTCCAAGGAATTAGTTTAGGATTAGTTTATTTCAAGCGAAGGCGACTCGAATCTTTTTCAGCTTTCTTAAGCCAGCCCAGAGGAAAGAGAGACTGAGGGAAATAAAGAACTGGAGCTTGGTCAGTTATGTCAAACTGCTGGTTTTGTGGTAAATCTTTTATCGCACTTATTAGGAAATTGTGCCCTTCCCAGCATTGCTGGGCTTTTCTTCATTAGCTAAAGGGCAAACTGAACCACCCAGAGCCTCGGCCTACAGCCAGGGAGGGGAGGCGATGCACACCGAATTTATCTGAATTTCTGCCTCCCCAAATTTTTTATTTTTATTTTTGGAACCAGCCCGCTCTAGTAGTTTCAATGAAACAGATGACTTCGGCTTGCTTATTCACTCCTTCTTGAAGTAAGACCTGTTGCCTGCACCTCTTTTGCATTTGATCATTAATGCTCAAAATAAAAATTAATTTGCTGCCTTACACAAGATGACAGGGATCGTTGTTTCCTTGTTTACGAGAAGGCTGTCAAGAGTGCCAAGCGAAAAGAAAGGCTGTCCCCTCTTCCTGCGGGGTATGGAGACAGTCGCTTTGATCGGGGTGATTTCCACCGCCCCCATCCCCCACCTTCGTCCGAAGCCATTACTTCCAGCAGTGGGTGTGAGTGAAAAAACCGCTGGACTTCGGAGGGTGGACAGTCCACCTCCCTTTGAAACCATGGCAACACTCCTATGGAATTCATCCTAGTGCCTTCGGGAGTCTGAAAGCCTGTGCAAGAAAACACACGGACTTCCAAAGTAATTGCTGTTATTGTCAGGTGTTGCAGCCAATTACTGTGGTTATTATTATTACTACTATTTATGCTACGTACTAGAAAAAAAAAGTAATAACTTAGGATCACAGGCTACTGAACTCATCCTAAGGAACGTTGCATCGGCTCAGAGCTGCAAGTGGGTTCAACCCCCACCCCGCGTTCTGGATTCCGGAGAAGTTGTTTTTCATTTGCCAACCCAGTCCTGTAGTTTCTAAAGTCCATCTTCTACAAAAGCTTCTTCTACAAAGAGGTGGATAAAGCAGTGGGACAACTCCTCCAAACTGACCCATGCCTGTATCCCTGGGTCTCTCCGCCCCCTGCCAGGACCAAGCCTTGCAAATGCCAGGACCAACTTGGAAGCGACCTGTCTGCAAGCTCGCTTATTTTCTTGCAGACATTTCAATTAACCCAACTAGGTAAGATCTTCAGTTGGCTAATGAAATGTCTGCAAAAAAAAAACAAGCTCAGAGAGCATCAAGGACTCTTCAGTTCAACCCCGAGCTACAAAATATCTTCAATTGGTACGACAGGCCTCCGTTTGAGAAGTATTTTAGATTAGGTAGATGACTTCATTAGTATTCCATTAAACCGGAGTAGATAGAACTTGAAATAAAACCTTGGGAAGGTGAACCTTTCTCGAATTCTCCCGCCCTCTTTTATCTGAGTATTACTACTACCAGTGCCACTTTTAAGCTATTGTCAAAACTCAGACTGCCAAACACACCTAGTCAGCATAGAACCGACGACAGGTTCCGAACACCCGTGGCAGAAAGTAAGCAATTGGTTGAATTGAGTTCATCTTTGCAAAGCCATCGACGTTGGGATAGCAACCAGCCTGCATCCCGATTTTCCTCCTTCTCACCCACCCACCCCCCACTCCCAGTGACAGGAAAATTAAAATTGATGAAAATCGAGAACAATGTGAGTAAACAGAAACAATGTAAAAAGCTAGTGCCGCTCCGTCTAAGAGCTTCAGATAATTACTCCAAGCAATGCCACGCTTTACCCACAAAGAATGGGAACAGGCATCGGGTTAGGTCAAAATGACCTAGTTTACAATGCGGGCGTACTGTATTCTGTGTCTTCAAACGTACAGGTTAAGGCTTTTGAATTCCCCTAGCCCCCACTTTTTTGTTATGGGTTCAGCTTGATCATCTACCCAACTGAGCCCCTTTTCTTTTCTTTTTTTATGATTTGCAGGTTTTGTCCGTCCAAACCATATTCTGTCATTTCAGTCGATGGTGGGAGATGGTTGCTTTGTTTTTACTACTACAGGTAGCGAGGGGAGAGGTATCGGTACCACCCACAGACTCACACACACACACCCCGCACCAACCTACGCCCTGTACACAGGAAAAGGAGGATGATAAGTGACCCGACGGGATATTCCCATAGGCTTCTGAGACAAGGAGGACCCAATTATATGGTTCGGGATTTGAAAGGCTCAACTGGATCAATCGTTTCATTCAAGGCAGCACAAATAATCCGTTCCGTGTAACCCCAAGTATTATTTCAGTAGCTGGGACTTTCCAAGACCCCCCCCCCACTCCCCCCTCGCCGGGCCATTGAGTTCAATGGACAAAATGTAACGGAGGGGGGGTGGGAAATGCATGGGGGGTGGGGGTGGATGGAGAGAGAAGGCTCTCCGAGTCTTTGAAAGAGCTACTTGCGTATCTTGATCCCCCCTCCCCCACCGTTTCTGAAGACGGAGCCAAAGAGGGGAAGGGTTGGATGGAAGGTTCGCCCTTGAACAGAATGGATCGGAGGCGTTTCGAACCCAATCCAGGCCCGAAGGAGTTCAAAGGGCATACAAACGCCTAAAGGGGCACAAGCAGCCCGACGCGTGGAAGGACTTTCCCCTGATGTCAGTGGAACCGCCAACCTCTCGCCGTTCCGGGGCTTTGAAGTCAAAAGCCGGAGGGTGGGGGGGAGCTTTCGGGCTGCCACAGTCTTTGTAAAGAGCAATACATCTTTCCCAGCAGGACGGCCTTTCGCCTGTTGACAAGGAAAGCGGAGGGGGGGCGGTGTCTTTTCTTTCGGTAGGATGCCTTCCTAAAGGCGTACGCGTCTAGCCCGACAACATCAGAAACGCGGAGCAGCCGATTCTGGCAGGGTTCGCTCCTGCTTTCCCTGAACTGACGCCGCACATTAAACTCGCCGCCTCCAGAGGAGCAACTTGGAGAATTGTACCCCCGAATGTTTTGGGTCGCAGTTAATAACTGCCTCTCCCCCCACCCCCCAAAAAAAACCTGCAAATGTCTTTCCCCATTGGGCCTGCAAGTCTTAAAACATTGACTTCGACTATGCAGTCCCGAATAGGCATGAATTACATGCCCGCTATTCGCTTGCAGCGGCGCCTTCGCCACACGGCCAGTTCAGTTCCTGATCCAACAACCCAATAAGTTTTACATTTTACTTCGGAGGAGAGGAGGAGGAGGAAGAGTCCATC